TTGTGTTAACATCAATATGAACATATATATCTGGTATTCGACTCTGCACTCTCACTTGTTTCCTTCTTTTAGTTTTCTTGTTTTCTCCAGAGAACTATCCATTGGATTCGGAGGGACCCTTGACAATAGAGGAAGACCCTTCCGTCCAACGGTTGGCACCGTGCAGTTTAATGCAGTCAGATACTGCTCAAATAGAGTCCCAGAGATAGAGTTTCTGGCGCTGCAAACCGTTACCTCCAAAACCAAGATGATCAAAGTCATTTTGATAGACTAGAAATCCTCCTGATTTTTATTGTCTTTTGTTGGTTTTTTTTTCACAAATAAATGGAGAGAGCAGATCGGGAGGAAGATGAAGAGCAGAGCATAAACTAAAATGGAGAGAAGTATATGACTTCAACTCAAATTTTCTCATTAACCAACTCTCCTATATATAAGAGAATACAATCTTTAAAACAATTCAAACTCAAACAACTATTATACATTAAAAAACAATAAAATTACGTTTGAAATTTGAATATGTAACAGCCACTTTTGCTGCAGCTTGCATCCTTTGGCAGCTCTGCAGCCTCCATCCTTTGGCAGCTCTGCAGCCTCTTTGCAGCTTTTCATTTCATTTGCATTTGCATTCCTTTTGCATTTGCATTTGTATTTCGTTTATATTTCATTTCAGCCTCATTTTCTCAACATTTGCAGCTTAGCTTGCTGCACTTTGCTGCTACCGTGCTGTTGGTGCAACGCTCCCTTCTTCATTTTGCTGCCATTTTGTGCAGCTTTCATTTTCATTTGCTGCTACTTTGGCAACTTGAACACCACAACTCCAACATCTTTGTCAAGCCAAGTAGAGTTTGCCATTCAGTCTCTTTTTAACAATCTTGAAAACTGTTCTTATTCCAAACAAGTGGGAAGAGGAGAAAAAGGGCAGAAACAAGGAATCGATGGCCTCAAGTCGGCATCTGTCATGCATGATTTTAATTTCATCATGAATCTTCCGCAAAACAAACATAACAATAACGATATAAAACGCTCCTAAACGGGGCTACATTCATTTGGGCAAGAAAAAGAAAAGTCTACATATAGCAGCTTATTCATGTACCACAATTAAAAAAAAAAAACAAAACTTCCCCAATAACACAAAACATCTTTATTTCCATAGAAACTTATAGTGGGTAGAAACTAGAAATTCCAGTAGACAACATTAAATATTAGCCATGGAAGAAGTACACATTATAACACAAGCACAAGCAAGAGTTCTAAAGTTTGAACCTTGAGAGCTGAGACAAATGAAAGAGATTTGAGAAATAAAAGGGTTATCCTTGTTGTATAGCTAACCCTTTAGAAAACACCCAAAAAAAAAAAGGACAAGCATGGCTAAGTACAAATCAAGGAAAGTGCAGAATTGGTACAAGATGAAGGGGGAATTTCTTGCCATTTGTTAGCCCAAAAGCTTCATCCATGTCCAATTTCTCAGTTTCACCGCCAGGCAACTTCCAATCAAACCAATATAAAAGGTTGGCAACAATGCATTCCACAACAGCAATGCCAAATGGCATGCCAGGACAAGCCCTTCGTCCACCACCAAACGGGAAATATTTGAAGTCCTGATCATTGAAGTCAACCGGACAGTTCTCGAACCTCTCTGGCAGAAACTCTTCTGGTCTGTCCCAGTACTTGGGATCCCTTTGAATTGCCCATGCATTGATTAAAACTCTGGTTTTGGGAGGGATATCAAACCCAGCCAGTTT